ATATGTTTGGGAGATTGTGTCTTGGTGGTACCATCGCCTAACACTGGGCGGTACCACCTCCCAATCTGACAGTACTACCGCCCGAAATAGTCTTGGAGACTATGTCAATCTTTGGCGGTGCCACCGCTTGGCCCAACTTTTGGGTCATTGAATGGGCTTTTCTTTTAGTCCAAAACAGCCCCAATTTGTGCCTAGTTATCCCCTATTTAGTTGGCATGGTTACACTCGAAACCAACTCAATTAGCCCTCTAAACTACTTCGATCTAGACAAATTATTACAAGCAAGAATGCTAAGTTATCCGGCATGTCATCGGTTCATCCAGCGCTTCGTCCGAACCTTCGGTGTATCTTCCTCTCTTGCAGTGTATTGCCCAATCGGTATATTGACCTCTACAACACCCGATCTCCTTGGCGCAATGTCCGATCCTTCTGGCCTGATGCCCGAATTCATGGCTCAAAGCCTTCTGCCGACATGTCAACCTTCCTCCGGTCTGACGTGCAATATTCTAACATGTTCTATTCTGGCCCAACTTCTAATATATTGTTTTAATCAATTTATCTTCCCTGATCGAAGCTAGTCTTGTGTCACTTAAACACACATTAGATCATAAATCCTATTAGTTGATTTCTTCATCAAAATCCGAGATTCAATAATCTCTCCCTTTTTTATGATGACAACCATTTGATGACAAAGTTTAAACCAAACTCCCCCTATCAATATGTCATATTGATAGAAATGTAAATTCAGACATTAATTATGAATCCAAGCAACATATCATCATAAAATCATGCATAATTAAAATTTTAATATATAATTCCATGCATCATCATCATAACTTCTTCCCTTTTGTCATCAACAAAAAGAAGAGCTACTTTCAATATTTAGAGATATGCAAGCTTAACGATTTAGCAAATTTTTTATCACTTTGGAATATGCAAGCTAGTGAGTTCTTTCTTTTCTTTTGAAAAGTATAAGCTAGCAATTTTTGTTTCCTTTGCAATATTCAAGCTTGCAAATTTTATCTCCCCCTTTGTCATTATCAAAAAGAAGGGAAGAATATAATTTTATAATTATTTTTTCTTTACATCAATTTTTACATCATGACAATTATATACAATAAAGATAAATTTGTATCAATATTTCAATCTTAAAAAGTAAAAGATTAATTCATTAATACCAAAAGACCATGTGTCATTTTTGACAAATCTCTTCTTTTGTAAATAGAAGAAATGATAGAAAATTATCTTGATTCAAAAAAAAAATTCAAGTAAAAAAATAATAAGTAATCAAGATAATAATTAAAAATATATAAGAAGAATTTATGCATTTGGGAGATTTAATTTTATCATTCAAGCTAGTACTTTTTTGTTCTCTTTTGCAATTTGCAAGCTAACAATTTCCTTTTTCTTTTACAATAATGATTCAATGAGATATACAAATCATAAATACAAGGAAATTATACATAATAAATTTCAAATTATAAACATCAAGAAGTCTAGTGATATATCATGGTTAATTTGAATACATCCCCCTTTTTTAATGAATACCAAGAAGAATCGTAGGAGAACAATTTATGAAAAACCTTGATTCATAATAAAACTTTCAAGTTGTAATCAAAAGAATAATCATGATTTGTTTGGATGAATGTTTTCTGAAAAGAGCGAATCATACGAGAATCAAGAAAAAGTTTCCTATAAAATACATCTCAAGTCACCAACATCGATAAATGATTCGATTGGATATATCATCTCATTATTAAAACGAATCATACAAAAAGAAATCCAAAATCTTTTGGATCATTTAATGAAAGCAACGTAGATAGATTTCTATAAGATTAAAAATAGCTCAAGTTCTTTTAGTTTCAAATTTTGTGATTGATTTCATGATCTAGTCTTTCATACAAAGGTCATGTATCATTATTTATAATCGAAAAGTAATATGAAAATCATCAAGATACACATTATTATTAGGTGTACAAGTATCATCATTTTTAAAATAATTTGTATATAATTTTTTCTAAACTAATTTGAAAATAACTCATAAAATTCATCAAATAATTTCAAAATAAGGTAAAGGAGTTTTGGTTGAGTTACTTACCTCGTTGTCGAAATCCACCAAAGCATGGTTCGCAACCTCGTTTTCAGATGCACTTGTTTCATCCTCCACCATCGCCTTGAGTGTCTTTTTCTTTAGTTATAGACATTCGCTTTTGAAGTGCCCTGACCGAATGTATTCATAGCAAGTTGTTTTATCCTTTTTAAATTTATTTATATTCTTTAATTATTGTTTCATGAACTTATTAATTTTTATGGTGAGAAGTTCAAAGTCATCATCATCACTTGAGCTATCACTCAAGTAGTATTCTATTTTTTGAAGTGTCAAATCATATATTTATTTTATATCATATAACTCATTTCATAAGCCACTAAAGACCCATTAAGTTCTTTAAGTGGAAATTTGTTTAAATTTTTTGCCTTTGTATTGCAGTTACTTTTGAATCCTAATTTTTAGAAAGATATTGTAAAACTTTATTAACAAGTTTAAGATTCGAAAAACATTTGCCAAGAGCTTTTAAACTATTGACGACATCCGTAAAACGGGTGTACATATCAACAATAGTTTCACTTGCCTTTATATGAAACAATTCAAAATCATGCATCAAAATATTAATTTTCGAATCTTTAACTCTACTAGTGTCTTCGTGTGTGATTTCAAGAGTGTGCCAAATGTCATGCGTAGTTTCGCAAATAGAAACACGATTAAATTTATTTTTATCTAAGGTGCAAAATAAAGTATTCATAGCTTTCCCATTTAAAGAAAAAGTTTTCTTCTCCAAATCATTTCATTCGTTCATTGGATTAGAAGACTTTTCAAATCCATTTTCAATGATATTTAATAAATTCAAATCTAAAGAAAGCAATAAAACCTTCATTCAAGTTTTTCAATATGTGTAGTCTGTCCCATTGAACATAGGAGGATGAATGATAGAGTGGCCCTCTCGATAGCTGATAAAAGTCATTTCTCTTGGGTGTTAAACCAAATAAGAAAAACGTGACTCTGATACCAACTGTTAGGACCAAGTCGGCACTAAGAGGGGGCGTGAATTAATGCGTATGTAAAAATTACGTCAAGTCAAAAATCTTCATACGATAAAACTATATCAAGGAGTGTTTTAACTTTGAAAACATTTGTAAGAGTGTACACCTAAAGTAATGAGGAAGTAAAACAGCTTGCAATAAAGGTCAACAACAAAACAGAAATGCAAACCAATTTATAGTCATTGGTTCATCCGGCGCTTCGTCTGAACCTTCGGTACATCGTCCTCCCTTGCAGCGTATTACCCAATTGGCATGTTGACCTCTGCAACACTTGATCTCCTTAACGTAATATCCGATCCTTCTGGCCCGATATTCGAATTCATGACCTAAAGCCTTCTACACACATTGACCTTCCTCCGATCCGACATCCAATCTTCTGACATGTTTCATTCCGACCCAACTTCTAATTTTACTACTTTAATCAATTTATCTTCCCTGATCGAAATTAATCATACGTCACTTAAACGCAAATTAGATCATAAACATTATCAATTGGTTTCATTATCAAAATCTGATATTCAACATATATATATATATATATATATTATCTTTCATTAGTCATTATATTTTGCATTTGACCTTGCAAAGTTGACTCCCAGGGCATGATGTTCTGATAGCTAGCTGAAATGGTACGGCGCAACTATTCATTTGGTCGTTGTACTTTGCACAATTTTGCTATTAAATCAACTTGCTACCTATTTTATATTTGTATGATGTTTCCTGACATTGCCTATTTTATCAATCAAGGCACGATAACATTCTCAATAAGATTCAGGTAATGCATGAATCATACACTTCCCGCTGGTACAATAATTCACAAAGTTTTAATAGGCAGTTTCTGAACATGGCCAACATGGAGCTGCACCCTCACGCAATTCTCTCACAAAAGTGCACCGTGCAAAGGAATTGCACTGTCTGCATTCGTTCTAAGATGGATAAAGGTTGGTAGAAGAAAACAAGACACCTTTGGGCTCCATCAAAAAGTTGAAACTACAAATGATGCAACAATATACTGATTTGACTACTATGCTTGCTTCTATTAGTAGTACAAATACCATTAATTAGTTGGCATATTCGGTTGCCAGATCATTAGACTTCTTACTCGAGTAATGGATAAGAACAAGTCAATCCCAACATGGAACAAAAACTACTCGTAGCTCAGCAAAATAAGGAAACACTGGTTATTAATTGAAATGCAAGACCATACGAAGATTTATAAACAATATGAAAGAATGCCATTTATAATGTCAGTATCATTATAAGCGTACAAATAAATCTATAAAAAAAGGAAAACAACAAAATATAAAAAAAATATATAATCAACCAATGTACATGTCCGCCAAGAGAAACAACCTCTCAATCCAAACAGGTGTCGAACACCAACCTAGAATAGCCAATGCTTCTTTCTAGGCTTGTGTTGAGTTGGAAGATCTGTAGAATTGGCAAAAGAGAACTGTTATTAAAACAAAGAAGTGATGTAAAATATAATCTCATGCAGAGGTTGAATAGCTGCTAACCTCGGAGTTCATAAATTGAATTATAGTGCACCTCAGACCAGAAACTCAGCCATAGCTCTGGAACAAAAAAGAATGATCGTTATGCACAAAGAACATGACAAGATCATGACACTAATCAGAGCAAGCAAAGACAAAATCAACTTCACAATGTATCAAACTTCAGATAAACTAAATGACTTTAAGTTAGCAATAATTCTTTTATGCCCACTATAGATTTGAATGACTCCCTAAAGAATATGAACTAAAGAGGAATATTCAAGAGTTGGTTCATTAGATCTTTTATTATTGTGAAACTTAGTCGAGCGCCAGTCTTTTATGAGTTCCTGGAAGTTTATCCAAAATTCATGTCCAGTTAAATTGATTATGTCCCAATAACATGTGACCATGAACATTGGCATCAAGCAATAAACAAATGACGTCTCATTCTTGCGCTGAAGCTTTTAATGCATTTCATCCAAAAGTTGCACATCAATTAAAATAAGTGACAAGAGCAGGAAATTGCATGCCTGCCAGTTCCTTTCTGATTCTATTACTTCTTGATAGCTTTAGTTAGAAAATGGAAAGAGATACTATCAAAAGGAGCAATATTCAGTTCATACCAAATTTTGTTTGGACTATAGTGGAATATACCTTACTGAACAATGCATCAGATACTGGGAAGTTGAAATCATATTTTACAGAGTTACCTCTTTGAGGAGCCTGATTTTGTGGTACAATCTCCACAAAACAGGTATCTCTAAATGAAGTTAGAAGACATATTTTTGCTTGGAACTGCAAATCAACAAGCAGAAGTTAAAGATACTTGTTTAATCTCCAAAGAATCTTGAGTAGCAGATGAAACATGATAACGATACAATAAAGAAATATTATGAAGGCATTGAGCTAATACCTAAAGCACAGTATGCAAAATTAAAGTTCATTATAACATGGAAACATGTAAAAACAACTCGAGTGAAAACAGAATATTGTATTACAGTCCAATTTTGTTTTATTAAACCTTAAATAAGTTCTGCATAAAGTAGGTAGCCCAATTATCAGAAGTGGAAAATTTTGTCCACAAGCAGGTTTCATATTCCTTTGAACAAATGTATGGGCATCTTGCATATTTTTATGTTCACAGGGTTTACCTTACATGTCAACAAAGTAGAAAATAGCCTATATATTTAGAGAATATAGATATCCATATTCTTCCTTCTTAGACTGGATTGAAATAAGTTTAAAGAACTTCATTTGTTTAGAGTTAGACATCGCTGACATTACATTCCACACAAAATCACATGCTTCACACCACAATTACCTGTATTGCATCATTACCAGCACTGTGTAGAGTGCAAAAAAGAAATATAAAATCAATTGAGATATTTTGTAATTTAGCATAACATTGAATACAGTATAGCAAAAGATTAAATCACAAATATTAATCTCAAAAAAAGGAAATTTTTTGCATATCAATGAAGTGGCAAATTGATGTCACAATCAAAATCTTATGTATGGTCAATTGGAGGATAAGGACTAACAATTCAGTACAAATGCAAAATGATCGACTGTTCTGATGAAGGGCTTAAGGAAATGTGACAAGCATTAGTAACACAATGACATAAGCGACATGCCATATTCCTAATAAGAAGTTGATGGTTGTAGTTAAATAATCATTCCCAAACTTCTTCAGCTAATTATATTTGCTTCTATCTATTAGAGGAATTATGTTGAGTATCCTATGCTACAAGTCAAGGGGAAAAATAAAACTGCTTGAAAAGTTTCTCAGATAATGTATTCCAATTGAAAATCAGGATGAAAAGGCTTTGACAAGTTGGGACTTGTTCACCTAAATCCCCCAAAATTTGAGACATTAGAAAACCATCAGAAATTGGACTAGTGTCCATGGTTCAAGTATATCATAAATTCAGCAACTAAAGTCTCCATCCATCTCTGATGGAAGACTGAGAATTGATCTTTCATCAAGTGAAGCTCAAAAGTGGTGTTATCTCAGAAACAGTGATTTAAAAGGCCCTAGGCACCAAAAGGCACTAAGGTCTCAAAATGCTCGAAGCGCTAGGCGTTCGCCCGAGCAAAGCGAGATACTCTGAAATATTAAAATATTAAAATATATAATATAATTGATAAATATGATTATATAAATTAAAATATAATATTAAATTAAAAAGATCTAAAGGATCGAGTCACATTATTTATTTTCTAATAACAAAAATATTAAAAGATTTAAAACAATAAAGTTTAGCACCAAAGTCGGTCATCATCATAATCAACATCGTCATTCTCAAACATATCATCTTTCTCTCTCTTTCTCTCGTCCATCTTAATCAAAATATGTTTCCTCTTCAACAGTGACAGGAGATGAGTTGAGGCTTTTGCACTCATATTTTCCTTCATCATCTGTCTTGTACATATTTGTAATTCTCCACCACTTGAGACTCTTGTCACATCTCCCCATATCAAGTTGTCATCTTCAAAAACAAGATTATCTTCGGCATCTTCCAAGTTATTTCTCCCACCAACCACTCATTTGAATCATCAATGTCTTGTAATGAGATTGGGTCAATGTTATTTCATAAATCATAATGAACCTTCAGTACTTGATTATACTTTATATAAACAAAATCATGTAATCGTTTGATGCTCTAACTAATTTCTTCTCTTTTGTGAACTTATCATATCATATCATTTAAAAATATATTAATACATCTATCTAAAAATATTCTATGTTCCTTACATGCTCAAAGACACTCTAGTTTTGCTTATAACCCACAGCACTACATATCAAACTAAGAATTTTGATAACTAATTACTGCAATGTGTTGTACATAGAGTCCAATATAAGTGTTATCTTTTTGTTTCAAGTAATTTACCTAAGACAAAAGATAACGAAACTAATAAGACTTAGGAGTCACATAGTTCTTCCATTCAAATTGGAGACAGAGTAATTAAAAGATTAAAAAATTTAAAGATAAATCTTACCAACTAACACATAGTTTCTTCCAGTATCGGTTATAACTTGGACGACATTTTGTTCATCACTTTATTCCACAAACTTGTCAAACAAATCATGTATCTTTTCTCCAAATTTTATAAAAGATTATGTATAACTTCACAAATATGATTCCTAAAGAACAGTTGACAATAAAATTAATTATATTCCTATGTCTCATATTGGTCCAAGCATCTAACATAATAGAGCAACCATGCATCACTCATGATTCTTTGTAGCCCTTTAATAAGTCATCTATATAATCCAACTCTTTTTTCAGTAATGAAACTTGCATCTCATAATAACTTGAAGGTCTTAATCCACTATCATATCTTCCAATAGCTTCAATCATCTCCTTAAAACTGTCTAAACGACAAATACTAAGAGGAAGGCTAGCCTAATAGAAGAAGCGAGCAATGTGTTAAATTATTCTTCTTCTTATTTCCTTATCATAAGCATCATATATATTTGTTTGTCTTAATTTTACTCCTACTTGCCCTTATTGCTTCTACGATCCTTAATACATATATAAATTCATCTGTCCCTTTTTACCTTTCTTAACAACCATGGCTTCTTTTTCTTTTCTGTTATATACTCTTTTCTCACTTGGATTAACACTTTCAGAATAATCTTCTTCATCATCTCTAATATGATCAATATTATCCTCTCATAAAATCTTATAAGATTCATTCCTTTGTATTTTGTTTTCAATCATATAAGCCAGCAGCTCTTCTTTTACATCAGGTGGACACTTCTTGCAGGCTGATGCATTCTTAAAATTTCCTACTAGATACTACCTTGCACGAAAAATACCACCTCTAGTAGTCTTATCACAAAAGACGCAAGTAACTACATTAGGATCTTTAGGATCCTTTAGATAATTATATTTCCAAGCAAAATCCTTTCTTGAATTTTTTTAAGAATCTTCTGAATTGCTTTTGTACATTAATCCTGAAACCCTAATAATTATTTTAAATAAATAGAGATTAGTAGTATAAAAATCTAAATAGTATATTATTTATCTAAATAGAGATTACTTTGTATAGTAGTTGATAATCTACTATTAACAATATATTATTTACTATTAACAGTACTTAGAAGGGTAGAAAAAAATTGTTAATAGTAATTAGAGAGGGAAAAAAGTGTCACCGATAGTGGATAGTGGCAAAGGAGAGGACAATAGTGACGGAGGAACTATCGAATGACAATGGTGGCGAAGGAAGCTACGGACGATAGCAGCAGCGGCGGAGGAAGTTGCGGATGATAGTCGCAGTAACGGAGGAAACAGCAGACGGTAGCGACAGCAATGCCAAAAACTGCAAATGGTGACATCGTGGGCGAAGGAAGCTTCAGAGTTGTCCATCGGTGGCAGAGGAAGCTACTGTCCTCTCCCTCGACGGTGGAAGGAACTGCACATGGAAGTAGCGACAACAGAAGGAACTACACACAAAAGCTAGGCCCTTAGACCCATCCATCAACGATAGAGGAAACCTTGGTCCTATGCGTTGACGACGGAGGCAATGACAGAGGAAGCGTTAGCGGCGAACGCAGAACCTATGCGTTGATGGTTAGGGGTCACGTAGGGGAACAAGGGGTGGGTTTTGCGAATACAGTAAAAGAAAGTAGCTAGTTGGTCCAATTAAACCAACTAGCTATTATTCAACAGAACCAGACTTAAAAAGTCTGGTTCGGTTGCTTCATGTAAACCGGATGCTTGCCCAAGATGCTTGGGTTCAGACGAGCGCACTAACGACGCTTCATTGAAGCGCATCGCCTGGTCGACCCTTGAGGCACTTGGGCCTTACCTCGCCTCACCCGAGCACTTAGGCAAGCGCCCGAGCACCTATTTAAATCGTTGCTCAGAAGGAAAAGATGCATCAAGTTAATGCTAAATTTAGGGAACCTAATGGAAGATGTAAACATGAAGATATAATATTTTTAAAAATCAACAATAGCAGCCAGAATGATCATATGCAGCACATAGTAAGAAACTACGTGGGAGTAATAGCATATTCAGTGGTAAACCAAAATCACAGCATACCTTATCAGCTGCAGCTTGTAATGTAATGTGGTCTCCCCATTCGCCGGATCTGTATAACAGTAATTGGTTAATAGTGAATAGAAAGTTGCTTATCCACAGAAACAGGCTTTTTTTTTTTTTGTAAAACTCGAGAGCAGCCTAGCCATGAGGCTGCCATCTCCATGAGGCCTAATATGGGCAACTTTTTAACCCCATGTAAGGGGTGGTTTTCTTCATGATTGAAACTAATGGCATGTAGCTTGCATCACAATTTTGCATCAAGACCTTCTCACTAATTCAAATAAAACAATAAATAAAGTTCAGAATTTGAAGTTAGAAAATCATACTTGGCCATTTTCTTATAGTAGCGCTTGTACTTCATGGGGACATACCCTTCATAGAAAGCATGGAATTCCTTAAGCTGCATAACAGAAGATGTAAGAATCACATAAATGTCTCTTTATGCCTTAAGAACATAAATCCTGCAGTTCAGTTTTTAAAAAATGAGAATATTCTGATAGATGAATAATGAGCAAAGGTAACTCAAGTAAACTGGATAATCCAGCAATTCAACAGCCTGCCAACTTTCAGCTCAGCGATGAGAAAAGAATGCTTTTTACTTATATCGATATGAAGTAAATTCTCAGAAAATAATTAAAATGTAAAAGTAGCTTCTCTTCCATGCGGTTAAGAGTAGGAAGGTAAAAGACTATTCAAAAGCTGTAGAAAGTGGAAAAACCTTTCATATAGAAAGGGTTTCAACATAAAAGCGACCACTGTAACGATCAGCCACAAGGAGTCTAAAGATGTAATTTACTGATAACATAATAAGCAAATATAATTGGATAATCTTAGTCAAACCTGCTTTACTATCTCTTTCCGAACATGTTTATGATATTCCGAGGATCTGTATAACTGATCAGATATTGCACGAAACTGCAAAATGAACAACAAAATTACTGGAGTCTCAAATGCATTATCTCTATATCATTATATAAATAGCTAACGTAAATAGCATGGTTTTATACAGACCTGACAATTGCCATCCCCAGAGACCTTAACTTCATATAGGCCATAAGCATTTAACCTAGCAGAAAAATTTGCTGACGACTTAAATTCACAACACAAATAAGGATCAATAATAAATTTGGCATAAAATAAGCACTGATTGTATTTTAAATAATAATTAGCATGAAATGCTCTTTCTATTTCATTGTATTTTAAATGAAATTGTGTTCCAACAGAACAGATACAACATGTACATTCCCTAAATACATGTTAACATATGTGATGAATTTAAAGAGTAGGTCTTGAACAGGTGAAAAACAGATGAGCCTCAAGAAAACTGATTGAATGTCAAGGTTAGTTAAAGTAGCATCCTTATGGGAAAAATAAACGAGGTAGGTGAGCCAGAATCCTCTATATAGGCTGATACGCATGTTAATGTCAATTCATTTTATGAGATGTTGAGCGTTCTAGCCTCCCAGTTGTAACCTCCCCTGCATGCTTTTAAACAAGCTCAGCAATAATCCTATAACATCTAAATATATGTTAAATCTACTTATCTCGTGTCAAAATACTTATTAGGAAACCAGAATCTAAGAAGCATAGATGTGCTTTTGGTGGACGTGCTCAGATGTGTCGACACATTTTCAGGCTTGTCTTTTTTTATTTAATTGCATTTCCATTTGTGGGATATGACAACGCTCCCGCACGCTTCAGAGTCTACATGGAGACAGATTGTTGGCATCACAAGGAAAGAAATATGGAAAGAAATCTAGAGATTGTCACATGAAAACATATATCAATTATAACTGGAGATTGTTAAATATTATTTGATGTCCTCAACCTTTATTTTGGATACTTACATTTAGATAATTTTAATTGTTTCAACCTGTATGATAATATTATTTGTTTACATTTCTAAGTTTATAAAATTGAAGTATATATACTATAAAACTCATGTTAATTGAATAATATATATATATATATATATAAAGAAATACATGTGTCCCTGCCGTGTTCGTCCTAATTTTTTTTTTAAATGGCATGTCGCTGTGTCCGTGCCTCATTGTGTTTGTGATCGTGTTCATATCCATGCTTCTTAGACCAGAATTAAGCTAAATTTAAAGCAAGCATCTAATATCATGGAAAAGAAAACATTTTTCATAAATTTTCAGTGGAGTAAAATATAAGTATTCTCTAACAAAATGCACTATGGTATTAGCAACATCAACATTTATATGAAAATTTTTCATGTTCAATGAAGTTTCAATGAAGGTACCTTTGGAGAAGCCGCTGGTGATCTAGAGTGGCATCACTCAAGCTGGGAATAAATGTATTTATCCGCGGAACATGCTACAAGAATTTAATTTTCCAGGAAGTATTAAAAAAAAGCAAAACTACCTCAACAAAAGCAAATATAAAACCCAAAAATTGCATATTAATGATTCAGAAACAATTTGCTTGAATAAACAGCAACACAAATGAAATCCGATCTTTAGATACACAAATTAAGAAGACCAAGGATCTTCAGTTCTTGTCCATAGGTTGGCATTGTTGTACAAACTAGTAATTGTATATAAATGGTAGATCCTCTAGCTGCTTATACCACAAAATGAATAGAATAGCAGACAGAAAACCTTACAGGAAAAATAAATATAACTTAAAAGAATCAAATGAGTATTAGGTTAGTGTAGTAAACATAACTATAAATGAATAGTTTCAACTAGCAACTGGATAAAGTTTGAAGGAAAAAAGGATTAGTAGATGGCAAATTTATCAGATAGATAAGAGGTCCAAAATTGATTGAAAAATAACTATTACATGTTATGAAAATCTTTTATAGGACACTCAATACTGCATTTGTAAGATGATTTTGTGTAAACGAATTCTCACAACAACAGGTCAACTACTAATTCCAGGAACAAAGAAAATTTAAAAAAATAGCAATTACATACAGGCACTGAAGCCAGATTAGCAAGGCGTCTAGAAACTGCACCATCTAACTTTTCATATTCTTCTGAGAGAACAAGCGCAATCATCCTATCATCATCAGTGTCATTGCTGTGGCTGCTTAGACCAGTTGCTGTAGATGGGCCAACTTCATTATGAACTATATGTTCCATATGGAAACCTGAAGAGGAGACGGTTCATTTGAGTAAAATATGTAGTAAATGCAGGTTAGTGGAATGAACAATGTGGCATTAAGTGAAAAACATAAACCAAAAACCCTTCATTGGCCAGTCCTCTCACTGGAACAATATATTCAGATTGAGTCAAAGTACTTCATATAATGTGTTCAGTAGTTTTTAAAGCTAATTTAAAAGAAAAAAAAAGTCTAGTCCCTTCATTTGGCAGTAAGCATATAACCAATGAAAGATTGGTCCTTGGACAGAGCACTCGCAATATTCTCTTTTGGTGTTAATCATGCGAACAAACTTCCTAGAACCGGATCAGTTGCCACTGATTTTTTATAGAGTATCTTGTAAACCTGCTTAAGGTTAGCTTTCTTGAACATCGTTTTGGAAAAATTATTTTTGACTTGTTCAAATAGATGCTGTAGCAGATATAAACCCTTATGTTAAGAAATTAGGCCAACAAACTATTCATAATGCATCATGAAGCAGTTCTTCATGGCTCTAAAGCTTCCACCACAATCCTTCAGCGACGACCGGCTATACTCTGCAAAAAAAGCAACATAAAACGAAGTAAACTGCTGCTCCCAGTGCCACGCACATTCTTTTATCAGGTTCAAGATCTACTATGTTGCTACAACTGTCGGGTTTGTGTATCAATATATCCCAGGGAGACTTCAAGTCGAATTCAGCGAGTTAAGCTCGTGTCCTGAAGAAATCCCTAAAGCAGCAAACATATCTGCGTGCAATGTCCTATCAAGAAATTGGAACCTGCACCGACTCGTCCTGCGACTGACATGCTCGACGCACATGATCAAAGCAACCGCCAAATTAATCATCCCTAGATCCCAAAAAATATTCCTCTCCAGAATTCACCAACAATCCAAACCTCCAAAAACAATTGGAATCGAAATTAACCTACAAAAATTGAATCACGTTCCAAAAAGACAAAGAGAAGGAAAAAAGGCACGGAATCGGAGATCGAACAAGAACCAAACGAAAAGGGAAGACCGAATCCCAATAACCAAGAACGAAAAGGAAACAAAGAAAGAATCGGAGAAGGGTAAAGGGAGAAGAAGCATATACTTAAGGAGGATTCTGATCGATCAAACGGCAGCAGAATGTGGTTCGAAAGGTCGCGGTACCAAAGGAGGAACTCGTCGACACGCCTACCTTTCCTTCTCCTCCTCCCTCTTTATATATTACCTGCGCAAACCGCGTGCCACAAATAATTAAATAGATAAGAGAAACAAACCTTGGTACGTCGCTTACGACAGAGGCGGATGCCCATACGGGTCCCGCACAACGACAACAAATTTTGCCAGTAATGGAGCCGGTAGCTTTCCCGGGTACAACTTCTGAAGACGTGTTGCTCATATATCTGTTTGACGTCCGTGAAGTCGGATGAAGAGCGTGCGTATAATTTATGTATGCGGGCGGGAGGAGGGAGGGGCTCGAACTGTGCATATCTTGTTTTCTTTTTCCTTTATTTTTGGCGATTTTTCGGGGGAACAAATCGGGTTTTTCATATTAACCACAAAGAAGTGAAGAACCATATATTTTTCAAATATTTAAATTTTCATTTTTATAAATAATTAATTCTTATTGAAATCCAGCCAACTGAACCTAATCGGTTTTAGTTCAATAGAAAAAAATACTATCATTTTCCATTATCATTCTTCCACAATAAATAAATACAAATATTGTAAGGTTATTAAAAATATATAAATATAAGCTTAAGAGAAAATATAAAAATAAAATTTTTATCGCTTTTATTTTCTAGGCATGTGAAAATCTTTTTAATTTATATTAAAACCCCTAAAACTCTCATAAAATTTACTTTATAAAACCTTAAAATTTATAGCAAGGTTGATAATTAAGATTTGTGGGATTTAAACTAGTTACAGCTTGCTTATAGTGTTATTGAGTACAATTACAATGTTTGTGTATATTAATAAAAACGTTATAAATTTATTTTAAAATATTATAACCGGATAAGGTTTTACCCTTGTTTATTCTTCTACAATAAACGAACATGAAGATAGACCTAAATTTAGAGTTCCCAATTATTTTGAATATGGCAAGACCTTCTTAATTTGCATCCAAAACCAAATAAACTCTCATATAAATTATTTTATAAAATATTACAACTTATAATAAGATTGATAATAAATATTAGTAAGAATTTTAACTAATTAAACTCGATTAAAATATTTTTAAATAAAGTTATAGTGTCATGGTATAATAACAAAAAGATAATACAAATATATAACTAGGTAATTATCTCATCCATTATTGTTATTATTTATAATGAATAAATATAAATATTATAAGGTTTTTCAGAATATATACCTAAATTTAATATTAAGTGAAAAAAATAAGGCTCTATCATCCTTTACTAGAAATATATCAAAATAATCCTATTTTTCATTTAAAACTATTCAAAAACTCTCAAATAAATCATTTTTATAAAATCCTAAGGTTTATAATTAAGATTGATAGAGTAACTGAACTCCAGTTATGATTGTTTTTATTATTGAATATGACTCTATTTAAAAATATTGTAATTGATCCAATTCCATTCAACTAGCTAGGGTTGTCGGAGAAATAATTGTTTTTGAATAAATGACATTTTGGTACTTCAAAAATGTAATAGGATTATTTATTTTATTTATACCAATTGCCCCGAAAGTTCAACCCTATCAATCGATTATCCCATAATGAGCAGTACATTGTCATTCCATAATACACTATCTAGTTTTTATAACAATGGTCATTATCACAAGTGAAGTGCGGCAGATACCGGCAAAGGTAAAATACAGAATAGATTTTAAAATAATACCAATGAAATAATTTTTCAGATAAAAAATATCACAATAGAGGGGTGTAGAATATATTTCAAAAGAAAATTTATGGCATAGTTTTTTCGGATAGAAAATGAATGAACTCACAAGAAAAGTTGACAGTACAATTGTATTTGCTGGAATGAATTTTCCAAACAGAAAAAGGAGCGAACTCACAAAGCAACTTTGGTAAAAATGATAAATAGCTTACCATCAAGTTTAAAATCTCAAAGGGATACAGAAAGATCACCACCCTAAGAATAATAAACAATGATACAAAACTGAAAGCAAAAGACTCACCACTCAATGACGCATCCAAGAGATACATAGTTCAATAGAGCACTCCAAGAGAGCTTCTACCAATATCCTCAGTTTCTAAAGTTTTTTCTAAATTCTAAACACCAAAATAAATACTAGTGCATGAAACAACCCTTCATGTGTAGGGAATTTCGAAATTAAGTGTTTACAACCGCTAACCAACACCTTTAATGCATTCCTTGGTTATGAAGAAATATTCACAACGGCTAACCAACTCCTTTAATACATTCATTTGTTGTGAAGAAAAACATCTTGAAATAGCTTTAACTTTGTGTAGAGAATATGCTGATGAGCTGTCATATTTGAGTGGGCTAAGTTGAAGATTATGAGGCATCATTGTTGGCTGAAAAAAATATCATATCATAATTAAGGTTCATATGATCATATTATAGTAAATTAGACATTCCCGTATGAGATTCGTACTCTTACAAGGGATGGTATGCCAAATAGCTTACTTGTTAATGACCGAATCACGTTATTGCCACTTATACCTTGCAGTAACAACAACAATAATAACAATAATAATAATAATAATAACAATAATAATAACAATAATAATAATAATAATAACAATAATAATAACAATAATAATAATAATAATAACAACAACAACAACAACAATAATAATAATAATAATAATAATAATAATAATAATAATAATAATAATAATAACAATAACAATAACATTAATAATAATAACAATAATAATAATAACAATAATAATAATAATAACAACAACAATAATAATAATAACAATAATAATAATAATAATAATA